GATTTTCATGTCATTTGCCACGTGTGGACTGCGTATACACGACACCGGCTTACACCCTGAATTGAAAATTAGTAAACAATATTATTCTTCGTATTTACCCTTTCTAATTCTAATCGTTTATACGCACGCTCTCTTAACACGTGCCCGACGAGAGCTCTGAATTTAAATCGACTTAAAAATTTCGTTACCGATTAAAACACAAAGGGGTGCGGTACCGACACCGTTACATCGATATCACCGGTGTTTCAATCAAAACCGTTAGGATCTATCAGTATTTAACGGATGATTTTTGGTATCATTAATTTTGATCTTTTTCCAATCGGATGTCCAGTTAGAAGGAAGTTTATTATCGACAAAGGATACCTATTTCGGTAGGAACCTATTTCCTATTAATTATAGGAACACTTCTTTTTGTTTGCCCGGTTGATTTTAGAGCGTGGTTATTTTATGTGTTTTTTTTTAATCCCAAATGATAACGTTTGCCCTTTTCTCGAGTTTCTGTGGTAACCTTTAAACTTTTCTATTTCTGTATTCTCAATAAACCTATTTTATTTTCTGCTTTGTTTCACGAAATAAATATAACATTAATTCTGAATATTTGAAATTTACTTTATTAACAAAACATTATTTGTGCCTACAACTTTTAAAAAGATTCGTTTTACTAACGAGCATTATTAAACTTAATAAAAAATTATTAAAAGAACAACAAAAGAAGTGACAGACAAATAAAGTAATAATGAAGTTAATAATTATGTCACCGAAAATACATTTTTGTATTTTACTATGTAGCAGAATCGAGTCACAGTTACTGGAAACAGTGGGATGGATGTTTATTTTTGAAGTTTATTTTATAATTTGTAGAAAACTTTATTCTTAAATGTACAAATTATTAATTCTTACAAGTACAAATTTCATGATAGATTTTTTGACATTTTCGAAGTTAGGTACAAAAAACCCAAAGAGTAAAAAAGTATTTATTACTTCACTACATTAAATATGGTACTGTACTATTACATTTAAAATATCTCGTTGCTTTTAAATGGAATCATATACGATTATTTTTTTATTTATTCGTTTTTATATGCATACGTAATTTTTTTTCTATACCTATTAATCAGGTTTATCATATTACGTTTTCTGTAAATTTTTATTGGGATCGAGTTTATTCTAGTCGTTAAACTTTACAATGGTAACATAGCGACAAACATGTTAAACAGACAAATGTGATGAAATTAGACATATTCCTTTTGCTTACAGAAATATTTGTTTATAGAACATTAAAAAACGAAATATTGTTTTGTGTTGTACCACATGATTATATCAACTTGGGTATATTACGTACCTGAATTAACCAAACCACCCATTTTGATGAGGACATGTTCGTTCTTCTGTGCTCTGTCCCAGTATTCGCGAGGAAAACTTCGTAACACAAAATTGTCATATTTTAAGAAAAATATGAAAAAAAAGTAACATGAAGCAATAATAATTATGTATAGGTATATTACTAGTTATTATTTTCTTTACCTATCCCAATAATGAAATGCATTCGTGATTCACTGTTCATCCCAAGAGTTGATTGGTAGAGATCGCTACTAACATTAAGTTTGCATTTTGTACCATATTTTCTTTTGGTCAGTAAAGTTATTTAAATTAATAAATGAGCAGTGCAAAACTGTACTAATAAAATTGACAAAAATATGGGAGAAATATGAGAAATAAATATTTAAATTCCAGAACTAATTATCAAAAACCATATAATTGGTATTGATGTCGCGTATCATACACAAAAATAGTTAAAAAATATAGTCTAATTCAGAATATCCTTACTTATAACAGCTTATCTTTGCCTTTTTTCTCAATGTCCTCTACCCAAAGGTTGTCTGGATGAGATTGCTTAGCGATAAAGCCGCCTTTTGTATAATTTCTTATTAAAATAAACTCTATTTATTATAAATAATGCAATAAAACTTTAAAAAATAATTTTCGATTTTTAGAACTGTCGTCGTAACCACATATATGATAATGTCCTCGAAATAAATTAAATATTGGTCACATTATTTACCTATACGTACTCTCACACTACTATCTTACTAAAAACATACACAACACTGTCATCATGTCAAATTCGTGATGATAGCAGGTGGAGACGTGGGCGAAACGTGCTATCTAATCTCATTCACAATAAAGCAGCATTTTCACTTAAAATGGTATTCGCGAAGCAGTTTTGCCAAAATATAATGTAGTATTATTACCTAATTAAACATACCTACTTTAACAATATTAGGCATTGTTTGGATAGAACTTGTTGACACGAATAATTAAATCAACAAGTGATTTTACTTTGTTTTAATAGTGTTGTGATCCGAAATAAAGCACACTTATAATATTATTAAAATGTATAAAAAATCAACACGGAACTAAACTCTACTATGTCACTACTCGAATATAATATAAAAAGAATTGATTTCATCATCATCAACATTATTATATCAACCGTTAACTGTCCACTGCTGAACATAGGCTACCCCATGTTGGGGGGTTTTGCCAGTAGTTGCTACGCTTGGTAGGCGAGTTGGCATGTAGCCTTTGGTGATGTTTAAAGAGGGATGCTGCCCATTCCTCCACCATTAAGTTCGCTTAATCACCTCTTACAATACTCACAGGAAACCAAGTGATGGTCCATTTTATGCCGGAAGCTATATGTATGTGGAACACGATCCACAATTCAGTTATGGCAAAACCAATTGTTTTAATTTAAAAACTAAAGTACTAAACCAATTTTGATAAAATTTCTATACGACTAATCTGTAAGTATATCCTTTTAGTTAAAAAAAATAATTGTCCAAATCGATTTACAACTGCCGAAGTTATGATGAATTAATGAACATAAAAAAAAATACAGTTTGAATTGAATTGAAATCCTCCTTGTTTCTGAAGTCGGTTCCAAATTGTACATTGTTAAAGTGTAGATAAATTTGAAAAAATGTACATATGTAAAAATAATAATCAGTTACCTAAACAAAATTAAGACTAGTCGCGACATCTGTCAATTATATTGAGTAACTTAAAGCAGTTGTTTCTTAAATATAACTTAGATGGTTCTAGAGACAAATAACAGATGGCAATAGTTGGAAATTTAACAAAATACGTAATTTCATGGCAAATATTGACTCTACTAATATACGAAATTAAAAAAAATTGTTTCAACGATATTTTAAAAACCGTAATTGAAAAATTTCATTATTCTAAGCCCATGGATTTATTTATTATTATTAGGCTATGCACTCTTTGCCAGTTAATAGAGTTTTATTAAATAAGAAGATAATAGTAAGCATCCTGTATATGTGTTATTATGGGGATTAGCAAACCTATTGTCAGTAATTCCTCCTGCCTGGTCAATCCCCGATGAATTCCTCGCGATTGGTAACTAACCTGAGTACGTACTTACCTTTCATTCCTCACTGGTACTCTTTTTGGATGAATAGGATTATACCAATATTAACCTATTAGAGCCTTTTATTTTATTATCCTGGATTACTAGTACAGTATTATCACAGTGTAAGAAAGAAACAGCAATAGTCCAACGTCTTTGACGTGTCCCGAACTATTATATGACAATTGCTCGAGACACATTGCTCTGTATGGAATCAATGCAGTAAAAAAGTAATTAATTATTAAGTAATGTATTACTTGTTAATTTAACACTGCACGCACTGGATTATGTGTCGTCTCACAATTTCTTTGTTTCATTTTGTTTGTCATGTTATATGTATGTATGTATCAACCGTTATTTGTTCACTATTGAACATAACAATCCCTATAAGGGGGGTCTTGCCAGTAGTTGCCACGCTTTATAACGAGTATGCGAGTTGATAACCGTAGCTTTTTTTTTTTTTATTAATGGGTGAAAATAGAATGGTAACCCCACCCGCGCTATCGGTATACACCGATGAGGCACCAGTAGAAGATGATAGGTGAGAATGAATGCAGGTCAGTTGGCCCACCATGTTGAATTCAACAAGAATTAACTATGATGGTTTCCAGGGGAAACCACGTGGAGGTCGACCTGACAGGGTACATTGCTAGTAATGGGGCTATTTGACCCCATTACTAACAATCCCTTTCCCCCTGATAACCGTAGTTAGGCCGCTGCTGGCCATTCCTCCATCATAAATTCCCTTAGTCGCCTCTTTCGACACCCATAGGAAAGCAAGTGGTACACGACGATTTAAATAACAAAGGAAGAAAATTAATAGTTTTATATTTTACATCGTAATAAATGTATTTAAAAAAAATTACATTATCTTATCCATGACCAGCTTAACCAAACCAGGTACAATTTTTCGCCATGGTGATCTCGTTGTACTATGCGATTCCCATGTTCTGTTTATATGAACAAAATCTAAAGTGATATTTTTTTCAGCAATGAACTGTTTTTTTACATCGCATACCGTGTTGTTAACCTCAATGAAAACTGAAAATATAATTTTATTACACTCATATTTCTATTGCAAAGCAGCTATACTTGTATAGCTGTTGTCTATATTTGTCCCCTATCTTTCTTATCGCCCTGGACTCTCCAGCTAGAAGTTTACCAAGGGACGCCAAATAAGCTATTTATTCTCACATGGGTGAGGTTGAAATGGCAAGCCCGCCTACGCTATTTGTGTACGCTGACGGGGTATCAGTGAAAGATGATAGGTAAGTATGAAATCAGCTTAATTAGTCTATCACAACAAATTCTCTAGAAATTGTTGATAATGATTTCCAGGGGGGACTGTGATGGAGATCAACTTGACAGGATATATTACTAATAAAGAAACCTCCAGCCCCCATATTAATAGCAATCCTTCCAACAAACAGATGGGTAAATGGCCCATATGCTTAGCCAGCCTAGTAATGACGATAGGTCTTCTCCAATAAACAGATACCTATGTCCAGCTGTGGGAAATTAAGTTTCTACTCTTATATATATGTATATTTTAGGCACCTACATCCTTTCCCATCACAATTCACTTTATGAAGAGTACAACGATCTTCAAACTCAGCTAGATTACTGGTTTTCTGATCATAGCCACAGATTTTGAAGTCTGATGCTGGGGTACAAATCTTCCATTTGTAGCAGTGATACAAAGCAAAATTCTTCACTAGGCGAGGGTCATCGAATTGCTAGAAAATGAAGTTATTTATTAATTTATTTATGATTTTGTATATACACTTTTAATATAAATATTACGTTATAACAAAAATGTACACAATTAACCTTAAAAATCTGAAAAGAGAAAATATCAATAGGGTTTGTATATAATATGATAAATAATATATTAGTAGCTCTATAGTTAGTAACAGTGTATATATATATATATATATATATATATATATATATATATATATATATATATATATATATATATATATATATATATATATATCTATGTATTAGATTAGCTATATTATACAAATGTCTTTACACCTTCATAATGTTTGTACGTAGAACACTAAACCAGAGGGAGACTTTGTACAAAAGTCGATTGCTTGGGTACCTCTGACCCATTCGTGTTTCTACCGTGAAGCAGTTATGTTTGCATGGCTATGTTTCGGTATGAAGGGTGGGATATGGAGTGAATTTACAGGGTACAGAGGAATGACATCTGAGTCCTCAGAAATGGCAACACATGGGGGGTATCATGGGCGAAACAGTATACTCTGTTATGTACTTGGCACCGCTCATGTCTATAGGCGACGGTTACCACTTTCCATCAGGTGGGCCGTCAGCTTGTTTGCCATTCTACGTTGTATATAAAAAAAATGCTTGCCTTGACAGTATCTAAAAGAAAGAAGAAAAGTGATTGACTATTGGTAAATTTCCCTGCCTACATATATCGAAAAAGCAAGCGAGATTACTATTTCATTTTCACCCATTAATAGTTAAAGACTGTGTTCTACAGGAAAAACAACTTCTTACGTGATAAAACCAGCCATTTTGATTTCAAAACTGAACTAATAAACTGATTTTGATAAAATTTCTATAGGACCAGTCTGTAAGTATATCCTTTCAGACAAAAAAAATCCAACTCAGATTAGAACTGACAGAGTTATGAAGTAACAAACAAAAAAGAAACTACAATCGAATTGACCACCTCCTTTTTTGAAGTCGGTTGAATATCAACTTGTGTTCTTTTGAGTATTATTTCAGTTTCACTAGTGTAACACTCCCAAAAAAGATACAAGCTTAAATTATAGATGCAAGTGATTTTAAATTCATTTTGTATAAAGACTAATATAATCACCGTTGATTATTAAACGAAATAATTATTAATTAATTGATGAAATGGTACTTACATCTTTATCATCCCTTTTACCGTTTGAAAATTGAGAATAAAAGATAACTGAAAATTAAACATCACATATACCTACTTTAGTACTATAATAGCATATCCAGTTAGCGGTTAATTACTAAATTAAAATCTTACAACACGTACATACAAAAATCTATCATTTAAGTTCATGTTTCGTCAAAATGCCGCATATATATTTACTGTATATTTATTTATTTTAATATTTACTTTATAACTATGTCATATTATAATATAATATATAATATTATTTAATATAGTTATTTATTATGTCTTTTTTTACTGAATCACTAGTTTTTTTGGCGATAATTTATACATTTACTTATACTATACAGATTTCTTTAAAACAATTTTAAAATACGTGATCTTGTATTCGCGAGTCCTAAATAGGTATTCAATTTTTAAATTCTCTTGACTAACTTATACAATCGAGTGTAATCATATTTTCTTTCTACTTTAATTACATATAAATTGGTATTTTTACCTCTCTTTTTAAACAGTTACTAAAATATGAATAAATCAGTCATCAAGTTCTTACCCAATAACAAAGGAATACTTCTATTCAACATTGTAATTTGTTAAACACTGTTTAATTAAACAACTAATCACAAGAAAATGTATGCATAACTGTTAATTATAATGCAAATAAATGAAAAACGATTATATGGATGGATAATTTTATTTAACGTTTACGTTTCAAACACTTGTTTACGTTATCTCTCGTTGCGGTAAAATCTGCAAATAATGACAAATTAAACATATATTATATGCTAGCGACACGCTTCCACTTTACACAAGTGTGATTATACATTTATATGAAAGTTTCATTATTGTTTATTATACATTTAAACCTTTTATAAAAAAAAAAACATATTAAATGCCTGTGAAACTCTATTTAAAATCCATCGTACAGTTCAGATAAATACGGGTTCGCGAAGAAACAGCGAGACACGGACATTGGTTTTGAATACTATTTAAAGACATATGTTTGACATACACAGCTGACCCGACATACGTTTTCTTGTCTAAACTCCATTTTTTTTCTTTGTTATTAAAAACTTATCCTTCTAGTTTACTATTCTAACCATACCTACAACTACTACTCGAACACCATCTGATCTCGAGGATTTCAACTTTATAAACGAAAGCCTTTTACCACATTGCTTCATATACCTTTCACAGCATTAAGCAAAGGACAATAATTTTTAAATTATCCAAACACATATTTTAAAAATTCAATATTTTGTACTGGAATCTAATATTGAGTCCTCGTTCAAAGGTCAGATAAGTGTTATTAATCTAAACTGTCACCGTTCAACAGTACTGATTAAGAAAAAAAATTAAATTCACAAACCATGGCCAGCTTCACAATTGTGCTTGTACATAGTACACTCGCACTGAAATACTTGGTACCGTTTGAGCCGACGATCTCTTCCACATATAGGATTCTCAATCACATGACAGTATTTGGCACGCCAACACCAGTACTTATTGCTAACAGCCTAACGACCGGGAAAGACGCTTGTGGTTTGCTGTTCAAGAAAAAGAAACTCTATTCATAAAAGTTTACAGTAGGTTTTTGTTATCGCTACTCTGGTGGGTTTTTCTCAGGGCATCGACCTAGGTCCCGTATATATTATCATTAATCGCCGTTTTAATTAACGTTTTTAATATCATAATCAATTTTACATACCTAACAGAATATATATTTAAAGCACAATAATGATTTTTAAATTAAAAATCTTTTTCTTATCAGCCGTTATCTGTCCACTGCTGAGCATATTCCACAATAGCCTCCGCCAATTAAGAGATTTTGCCAGTAGCTGCCACCCTTGGCAAGCGGGTGGGCAACCGCAGTTAAGCTTTGGTGTTGTTTAAAAAGGAACGCAGCTACTCATCTCTCGATTATTAAGTTCGCTTAGTCGCCTCTTACGATAACCACGAGAAAGAAAGAGATAACCAACTAGGGCCACACAGCGAAAAATCTTTATAATCTCTTCAATAGAGCAAATATAATGGCAATTCTTGTAGTATAATGACAGTCATCTTACTCTTGGTAAATAAAATTCCGAGTTCAATTATCGATCGGATCAATTTATAAAATTATCTTTTCTAAATTGAGTCTGGATGATTAAGGTGATTCTCATAAATTTTCATCACCTGGTTTCAGTGCCTAGTGGTTAAAATATCCTAGCTAAAAGACTAAGCAATTTTTACAATACATATTTATTTAGAAAATATTTTATTTATTTTTATTTATTCTTTATTGTACACAAAAATTACAAACATAAAATATATATGAAATAAAGATGTACAACAGGCGAGCTTAACTCTGTAAGAGTTCTCTTCCAGCAAACCCTGAGTGGAAAGGAGCAATAATTACCAGCGGGCAGTATGCGTACAATAATAAATATGTTAATAAAAATATAAGATGTTTAATATAAACTTAATATTTTATATACTATACTATAATAACGGTAGAGGTACAATCAAATTTTAAATAAAATACCACAATTAACGACTACAATCTTTATTCAATAATCTATAAATTTCATCAATGTCCTCGTTTATTCAGTGAAGGGAGAGATTTGCATTTCCCTAGAGCCGTTTTCGTGTAATCTACAAAGTGACGTATTTATGTATATATTAGTGCAATTAGTAATATATCTGACTACCCCGCAAGCGTAAAAATAGATATATGGTTTTTGCATGTAGGCCCCTATATTTGGAGTCCGCAATTTATCTCTTTTTTTATCCACTATCATGATGTAGGAAATTGCAGCATGCTCATCATTCGACTCATGCATACACTAAATGCAACCAAATACATAAAAAAATTGCATTTAATCAGCTAAATCAGCTAGATCATTGTCATTACGCAAATGTGAAAATGATTCATGGCTTAATATAGATATAAATTTGATTATGTATTGACTGTAATTCAGCTGTACGTTTTCCAAAAAAATATTATAAATAAATAAATAAATAGAATAAAATAAATTTCAAGCTATAAAAGATAAAGCTGCATAAATGATAAATCATTTGAACTAAATTGCTATAAATAACTCAATATATTTACTTTCAGAATTCAAACAATTGTACTCCAACATGTCGCAGGTGTCGAAGAAGCGACGAAACTGGCCTTTCTTGTTAATTCCACACTTCTGTTTACTATTGTGATAGCATGTTTTAGCGTTATAGCATGCCTGGCAATATTGAGAAAATGTATTGAAAGATATATAATTACATACTAATATAATTACAAGATCAAGAATGCGTCATAGTGTATTAAAATGCTGGTTATGTCTATAGATGTAAAAAATTAATTTTTATATGATATTTTAAATTTTTGTTTATTTAATTTTTGTTTTTTTTTTTAATCGAGATCATTGCATGACAAATATATTTAAAAATGTACAATTATATGTAAAATAATTAAATATAATCTGACATCTAAATTGATATTATTGCTTGTACATTAGCTACCTATCAATATAATTTTGCTACACCCAAACAGAGTTTCATATACTTACTCTTCATAAGAACATTCCGAAAACTCTATATTATGTACATGAATGCATTATAATAAATAAATATAATTGAAAATAATGTGAGTTACATGCGACAATAATCAAAATAATTATGTCTGCACTAAATGATTATCTATTTATACAATTCGATAATAAAAAAAAAAAACATTAATACGCGTGCATAATACGAAGTTTGAAAAATAAATTACAATGAAATTCATTCTTATTTTCCAATTTACAATCGTTTAGTCCACTTGGGTTTTCGCAAAATTTTACCTAATTCAATAAAATATATAATTGTTCACTATAAATAAAAATGTTATGATGAAATATTCACACTTCATATAGTACTAATGTGTCCGATTATAGAATATGAAATTATACAATAGAAAATTATAGCATTTTCTATTAAAAATATTTTAAAATGAAAAAATTTTTAGAAATTATTAATACCAACAAGAAATTAATAAACATAATAATGAAATGATAGTGACTAGTAGCCCATTGCTAACTTTATACTCTATCACATCGAAACGATCCCTATGTGACGTTTGTTAGAAACTATTATAATTCACTTGAAGTAATTTAGTCGGAATGTAACAAAGGATTAGAGGCTCTACCATGAAATGTTTTCCGAAATTTCGGGGCCGAACGAAACACAAATTTGATGTTAAAACTAAATATTACATACCGTTTAAAAATATTAAAAATGTTAAAATATCATTCCTTTGGACTTTTACAATAGAATTTATGACGAACAAGATGTTAGGCTTCATTTACTGAACCAATTTCGAAACCGAACGTATTATGGACGAAAACACAAAATTAAGTCTGAAAATTCAGAACTTTATTTCATGATAGACCCCCAGATTTCATCTTCGCGTATCATCTTTCAATGGTCCTCACCAAGATAAACCAATAATGCGAACTAGAGTACCGTATTAACTATCATCCATAAAAAAATAACATCTTTATAATATTAACTATAGAAATAATAATAATTATACTAACTACGCTAGCTTCAAGCGAACAAAAACTCAAGATAAATAACAACGTTCCTGAAAACAAAAGAAGTGAGATATCGTTTATTACAATAATTCCAACAAAACAATAAAAATTGTATACGTTATGTTTTTAATTAAATATTTATTTAATTAAAAACATGGAATACCTTATGATTATGTATATCTAAGTGATGTAAACAGTACATAATGTACGTATATTTAAAATCTAACCTAACAGCGCTGTAGCGAACCATCGAGCCATTGTGAAATTATATTTATTACTTCTCGCATCAAAAAGCAATAAACTAGCATTCAAAGTATTTCAATTTATAGTTTATAAGGCTTTGTACACATTAAAACCATTTTTTATTTCTTTATTGACGTTACAAAAAAAAATTTGGTAAAAAAGGTGCACTTCTTTACTTAAAAGCTTTTTTTTTTTTTGTTGTTGTTGTATCAGCCATTAACTGTCCACAGCTGAACCTAGCTTTTCCCATAAGGGTATTTTTGCCAGTAGTTGCCACGTTTGGTAGGCGGGTTAGTAAACGCAGTTTGGCTTTTGTTGATGTTTTACGAGGGTCGCTGCTATCCATCCTTCCACCATACTGGGGGTGGTGGGGTAGCCTATTCCTACAGATAAAATAGCAAGCGTGCAAGCTATTGTTATATAAACTTAAAAAGTATAAACTTATGTACCCATCCATACACTTTTTTGTTTAAAGCGGCAAACTACTGAAATTAACATGCTCGCTCATCATATTATTAATTTATGCCCCAGAGAGGTAATATAAATAATAATAATAAAATAAAATCATATTGTAACTATTGTAAAAAGACCTTTACATACAAATTAATTCGATCACCAGCAAATCGCTATAAAGAAAAATCCATTCGAACAAATAGTGTATTTACCTACATATGTGTACAGAGGCAAAAATAAAATTCATAAATCTTTTATAAATGCAACTGCATATTAATGTCTTCGTATAACATTATGAAATACATTACTGTTGTTATAATATTTATCTTTATTTTTAATATTGAAGAAAGTAATCAAAGATTTTCAAAGAATATACAAGTAGGTAACATCAGTAATTTGATAAGTCGTTTTGTGTGTGTGTGTGCGTGTGTGCGTGCATGCTTGCGTGCGTGCGTGCGTGCGTGCGTGCGTGCGTGCGTGCGTGCGTGCGTGTGTGTGTGTGTTTGTTTGTAGAATGGCATACAAGCTGACGGCCCATCTGATGGAAAGTGGTAAACGTCGCCTAGTAACATGAACAGTATCATGGATATAACAGAGTATATAACTATAATATATAATATATAGTAACATAGTTAGTAAGTAAAGATTTATGACTTCTAGAATGAAATGCACTTAGTGTTTTATTCTATGAAGTAAATTCTACCATGAATGGATTATCTAGTAAGAGAAAAAAACTACTTTTTCTGCCAGCAATACTGTTTGGAATCGAAGTTTTGCCTGCATACAGCTAAGAGGCGCTGTGGTTTGGACTATAAAACAAGGGAAGTGAGACGTTTTCTGGACAAATGTGACATGTTAGAATTTAACTGCCGATATGAAAGAGGTTAGTATCTATTCATATTACTCCACTCGCATTAATTTACTGTCAATGTTATTGTAATCATGTCAAATATTATATATATATATATATATATATATATATATATATATATATATATATATATATATATATATATATATATATATATATATATATATATATATATGTATATATATATCCAAACAGTAGGTGGCGGAAACCACCAACAAATGCATTCCCAAAGAGGGTTGACGTCAAACAGGCGGCCAGATGTAAAACTATAAGCCAAATCCTTTATTAATATGGATAAAACCATATTACGCCGACCCCAAATAATAATTGCGATAAGGATAGGAAGATGATGATGATGGAAACGTACAAAGTAGTAAACAGAAAGTTAATATAATATATAATATAAATAATTATATCTTTATTTTACTTTCTAAAAGCATTTATTTAACGTAAGACGCGAATAATTTAATTTATTTTTTATATCAAATCTTTAGTTACTTGTAGATGTGTGAGTGTGTAGGCGGCAAATACAATTTAGTATTTTAATTTGATATTTTCTACGGCTATTAACAAAATCAGTCTCTCTTTAATAAAAAAGAAACGCCGGAGGTGTTACCGTTCCTTTTCATTGTCATCAGTAGTTTTTTATTTAGAATGACAAACAAGCTGACAGCCCTCCTAATGGAAAGTGGTAACCGTCGCCTAAAGACATGAACAGTACCATAAACATAACAGAGTATACTGTTTCGCGCATGATTTCCTCTCATGCGTTGCCATTCCTGAGTACTTAGGTGTTATTCCTCTGTACCTTATAAATTCACTGCCATACCCCACCCTTCATATCATAACACAGCCATGCAACACAATTGTTTTACGATAGAAACAAGAATGGGACATAGGTGTCCAAACAAACGACTTTTGTACAAAGTCTCCCTCCCTCTCAATATAAGTATATATCTTGTACTTTTACTTGCACATATTTATTTCTTCGATTTTAGAGGGGCATACCATATTATCGTAGAATATACTCAGGCAGATAATATTCGTAGTAAATCCTTCTGGTAGCTGTTATTCTTTAGGCATAAATATATATTATTACTTTTTCATGCCTGACCCCGGAATAAAATCCTAGCTGCACTTGACTACTTCTATAGCAATTTTCATCGAAAACAACTTATCAATTCATCCATTAAAAAATAAAAACAACATAATATATGTACTTTCGCTTTTAATGAATTTTAAGATTGTGTTCCGCAGAAACAACTGACTTGAAATGAGATGACTTAAATGAAATCATGCTAAAACCAGTTGTTTTGATTTTTCAACTAAACTATCGAACCGATTTAGATAAAATTTCTATGAGACCAATCTCTAAGTACATCCTTTCAGACAAAAAAAAGAATTCTTCAAATCGGTTTCTAATTGACAGATTTATGAAAAAGTTTCATAAACATAAAAAATACAACTAAATTGACTAGTTCCTTCTTTTTTTTAATAACGCTTGAAAATAATGGAAACTTATATTTATTTATAATAAAAAAATAAATTAAAAAACTTGAAAATGTTGCAGAATTCAGAATTGCATCAAATAACAAATGTGGCCACGTACCTCCATTGTAAAATATTTACCAAATTGTCAGTAGCAAAGTTCCAGGAGGTTAGTGAATTAAACGGAAGTTTTGCTATAAAATAGACAATAGTGAAACCGTGGACTATAAACAAAGTCGTAGTAATAACCTAGCTAGTTGTTTTATCGCGACAATTACTCATTGGAGTTTGGAAGCGTATCTCGTATTAGAAGAATGACGTTAACAATTTATTTATCAGGTAAGTTCTAGATCAGGTTCTTTATCAGGGAGATTATATTAGTCTTGAGTTACCCGCAAAATTAAATTGACACAAAGTTTTGGTGTCAATCTAATTCAAACTGACGACCTGTGAAGCCTATAAGTCGAAATTATAGGGTAGATACTTAATATTTTTTCCATAGAAATTTTTCCCAATTCGCTTGTATTTTTTGTGCGTATATTAGCGCTGCCTTATCAAAATAACAATCAATTTTAACAATTCTTTCTGCAATCGACAGGCTTTACTCCCCTGTTAGTTTCATAAAATAAATTAAAATAAACAATTTGTCTTGATTGAAATCACTGTTCTTGCAGGGCAAATTCCTGAAATATAAAATATTTATTTCATTTCTCGTTTGTTCCTTATTCCAATAGTAAGACTAGGTAAGTTTATTTTATTTTACAATAGTTCGAATGGCAAACACGCTGACGACTGTCAGTACGCCGTGTATAGACCTGAACAGCATCATGCGTTAGCTTTCCTAAGGACTAAAATATTATGCAAATCCCTCCATACCTTGTAATAATACTATTTTCAAACCAAAACACAGCCATTACAGCAATAACAACTTAATTATTTTTTCTGTTACATTAGCTTTACCAGTCCTTCTATTTGTGGGCTGTTTGTTATCCGTGGTGGCCCATGGACCACCTCAAGATCGCGACAATGAGGACATCACTATGGGGAGGAAGGTAAAAAATGTAATAAAAATTTAAATGTACTCTTATATTGAAATGAAATTAATTTATTTTGCTAGAATGTAGGTAGTTTTCGATGAAAGAGGTTTACATTTCCCATATACATTCTGCCTCTATGTCGGCGTGCAAATTATTAACAATATGAAAAATTTACATAATTCTACATTATATTTCCCCTTATTTACTATTTAACACACACATAATTTATTACAGTAAATAGAAAAGAAAACAGGAGCCAAAGTGTCGATCACATCTCCAGTATAGACTGTCAAGTATATTTGTTTTTTTTAGTAAAATATTCATTGATGGTATAAAAAATATTACATAACAGCCAATTCCTAAGTTTATGTTTGAACGCTGTATGAGCTGTTATTTCTCTAATGTAATTTGGTAGATGATTGTAAACTTTAATAGCCATACAATATGCATTTCTTTTATGTAAATCTAACCTACACTTTGGTTCACATAATTTGTCATTTGGTCAATTATCCCATCGAATCGATTATAGGATTCTTAAATACAAACTTACGCATTTTAAATATTTTTAATTAAACATTAAGATCGTCAAATAATAATTATCATAATTTTAATAAACGATTGACAAAAATTTATTACATTGCATTATTAATATTCCCTCTCCCCCCTGTAAAATAGAATAGTTGATATCATCTGCTTATATTATTTCATGTGGCTTTAGATGGGACCGAAATGGTGCAGCATGGCGAGGGTGTGCAACCATGACCGTGTGCCGATTTGTGGCATCAGCCACGCAGGCGACGTGATGGGCTTCAGAGATCTATGTGACATGTTCGATTTCAACTGTATCAGGAGACGGAGTTAGTATTTTGTTACGTTTTCGTATGTCCATTGTTAAATATAGTTTACGAAACAAGTATCTACTTATGTATAAAAAGTGTAGATATATATATATAAGTTAATATTCAAGAATTCTTAAATGAAAGTTTACTTGAATAAAAATATTTATTTCTCTCTTTTAGATATGTAATATCATATCATCGATAAAAAAAATATATCTTACTACTTAATATAATAAAATTGTAACTAGACGACGTCTGTACATGGAGATATTTAAAAAAAAATATGAGCAATAGAAGTCAAAATAACCATTTTTACCAGTGATTTTATTATGTCTTTCTGTCTGTTCGTTCTGGTATCACACAAAAACTACTCAATGAAATTGGATGCGGTGCAGTGACATTTGTATTCCTGAAGACCTAACTTAAAAACTAGTGTATGTTTTATATTGACAGTCCATCTAGAAATTCATTTTTCTATTTCTAAAATCCATACATAATAACTTACGAGAAAATCCAGTATTTTGTATATTTTAGTGCAAAACAATTTAAATTGAAAGAAAGTATCGAAGTTTAATTTAAAATTAAAAATTTTGTTCCACAAAAAACATAACGACTTCAACAGACGAAATTAATTTAAGAACAACATTGAAGTAAAATCCTGTCAATTGTAAAAAGAATCATTAAAATGAGTGTAAATTGCAAACATTTATTTATGAGACGGAGCATAAAAAATAAATGGTGCAAGAAATTTATATAACAATGAAGGTTATTAGCATTGAAATCTCTCTGCTTTATCCTGTAAGGATATGAAGGTACATAAATTGACAAACGAACCGGATTGTGGTCAGATTTTTTTTTTAAATTGGCAAACAAGTAGTTGTTATAATATTGATACAAAACTAAGAACGCAATTGTTTTTTAACCGTCACCTATGTTTTAGAAAATAATTTTAAATTCAGAATATTATGTAACGGAATATTCATTAATAAACTTAAAACTTGATAAAGAAATATATATTCTAATGTTGAAATATTTTCGTGTTTTCAGATTACAAGCAAACAGCGTGTCCAGAAGATAAATCAATACTGACTGTGTCACGTCGACCCACAAATAGTTATTATGATGATTAAACCTATACCTATGTTTGTATAATTGATTTTTAAGTGTAAGCACAAATCAAATCAATAAACAATGGGAACAATATACCCATTAACATGTATGCAACTTTAGGCACAGATATCTCGTTTTCTTTCTTTAATATGCATACCTACTACGAATATATACAACTATATAACAATTAAAATTTATAAGTAGTAATAATAATACGTATTTCATAGTTATTATTAAAAAAAATCCTGCCTTTTAAACTATTATTAGGTATTACAAATAATAACCGATGTATGATTCCGGCATAGAATGGTCAACCTCTTCTCTTCCCGTGGGTGTCGTAAGAGGCAACTAAGGATCGAAGGATGAGCAACAACGACCCTCTTAAAATGTAACCAAAGCCTAACTGTGGTTGCCAACTCGCCTGTCAAGCGTGGCAACTGCTTGCAAAATCCTCTTATGGAGAAGGCCTATGTTCAACAGTTATCAGCTGATATAATGCAATAATATAACATAATAATAATGGCCGTGTGGTCCCGGCATAGAATAGTGCCACCTCTTCCTTTCCCGTGGGTGTCGTAAGAGGCGACTAAAGGAGGGCGAGGGATGGGCAGCAGCATTCCTATTAAAACATCTCTAAAACCTAACTGTTGCCAATACGCCTGCCAAGCGTGGCAACTACTGGCAAAACCCCACAAGAGGGAAGTTTATGATAATACAATAATAAAATAACTAACAATGCTAAAGGATCGTTTAACTTAACAGCCAAAACTGCTAAGTCTAGAAAACCAAAATTTAGTACACAGGCTTAATTTATAACCTAAGCATCCGCTAAAAAGGTTTTTGGATACTAGACACCACGCGTGCAAAGCCGCAATCAAGAACTAGTAGAATTATAAATCTTAAGCTTCTTGAATATTGAATGAATATTAAAATAACCATTTCTCAAATATCGTAAGTAAGAATTTCCGTTTTGGTTACTCGATTATTTTACTTTAAAATTCATGGGATTTGTATAATCCAAAAGTAAATTCTACAATGATAAATTATGCCGGATTATCTATTATTCATATTTTATATAATTCATATGAATTACAATGAAGCTGATAATTACAACACCCACGTCTACAAAATTATCTCAATGAATATTTTACTTAAGATTTATATTTTTTTTTTTTATACAATTTAGAATGGCAAACAAGCTGACGGCCCACCTGATGGAAAGTGGTAACCGTCGCCTATAGACATGAGCAGTACCATGGAAATAACAGAGTATACTGTTTCGCCCATGATACCCCCCATGCGTTGCCATTCCTGAGGACTCAGGTGTTATTCCTCTGTACCCAGTGAATTCACGCCATATCCCACCCTTCAAACCGAAACACAGCCATGCAAACATAACTGCTTCACGGTGGAAACACGAATGGGACAGAGGTACCCAAGCAATCGACTTTTGTACAAAGTCTCCCACTGGTATTATTATTATTACACAATTATTTTTATTATAAAATAATTCTATAAATTTATACTTGCAGAATAAAATTGAAAACAGCATCTTTTTAAGAGAGTGTGCTATCAATGAAACATTTTTATTTTTTCCGAATACAAATGTAATCAAATCTCTACAAAAATGTAGTCTTAAAAAACAATTTGAACTTCCAATACAAATACAACACATTCAGTTGTAGAACATGTAATCGGAGCGTAAAATTTTTTGTAATTTTTTCTCATAGTTTTTTTTTATAGGAAAAAGACACAATGATTTCTACTTCAATCTGTATACATATTACCAAAAAATTTATTAATATACATAGATAAGAAACTATATAGGAACATACTTTGTTTCATAAAAATCATTCTGAATTTTGTCCTGATTTCATTGTTGTCCAGAAATTCAATAAAATTCCTACTTACGAAATATTGTGTACAGTTTTATTATAGATATAGCCTTTATTTTACATACTATAATCTCTTGCTATAAACCTATGAATATCATAATTAATCAACCATTAAATAAGTGTAATCAATTTATAAAAAAATATTTGTGTGTTACAGCAAAACGAGTCTTGTTATTTTTTAAACTTATGTTTATTTTTTAATTTTTTTTTTCTGCAATGTCTATATCTATCTATCCATTTAAGAGCTGCGCTCTTGTCGGTGGAGCTCTTGCCACTCACTACGATTTTCAGCGAGTCTCTTCACCTCTTGATACGACACGACACCAACTCCTTCCTCCTCCTCCTTCAATGTCTATATACATGCAAAAAAAATTTTTTTCTTAAATTAGACCAATACTTATAGGAAAAATTAAGTGTGTATATTTGTGTTGTGTGGCATACAGCCACTGAAGAGGTAAACAAGCATGCAAACCCCCTGATGGTAAACGGTTACCACAGTCTAAAAGTATTTACTCAAAGAAACAAGCTAACGTGTATAATGCGCTGCTCTTTTTTATCAACTCTGAACTAGATTGAAGAGATTGTTAGTAATTAGGAAGATACTCCCGTAATCAGCAGTTTGACACTATCAGATTGACCACATGGTGTCTCTGGAAACAGTCGTTATTAATTTGTAGTGAATTCGCCACGATAATTCAATTACCTAATTTCATCCCCACCTATTTTTCATCTTTGGCACATTTACCAATATTCCATTCATCAGTCCAATAAGAAAAGACTACAAAAACTTTTAAATTTTTTTACACACATTTTATACAAAGATTTAGAGTCTAAATTAAACTCTACTGAGCCTATTTAGAGTCATAATATGTTGCGTGATTGCGGCGATGAAAAAAAAACAAAATAGCACCGAAATACTTCAATCTTCACAAAATTAATATAGGAGACACACATAGAGATACATATATATCTAATGCAAAAATAATTACTTATATAGATTCCAAATAAGTGACGCAAAAGAAATTAATTATTTACAACTATATTGTTTGATAAATTACCATAAATTTTGCTACGTAAAGAATGGCATAATACATATACGTAGATAGGTTACAAACAATAGAATCTATATAATATATTCATATTATATTTTATTATATAAAAGTCCTGTGTTGCAATGTTCGTTCATACTAATCTCCGAAACCACTCTACCTCTACAATTTTAATGAATATTTATAAATGTATATTATTTTCTCAAATTTAAAAGATAAATAGATATATTTTTTTTCCAATTAAATAATAGGGACCCGGCAGGGGGCGAAACAATGTTTGTCGAAACCGCAATCCCCGTCTACCAACAATAAAGCTACGTCTAGCTAGATCTTGGAATCGATTAATTCTTGACAAACCTAATCCGATATTTCCTTCCGGCCTTTGTCTATTGGATTGCAGCAAGACATTGTCTATACTCTGTGGTCTATACCACAAAAGACGATGTGTCGAAGAACTCGTTGGAAAGCTAGCATTTTATCGCTTCAATTACTTATGTTATTATTTACAGTTTCATTTAATAGTATAAAGGGACACCTAGTTGGCGATAAAGCTCATTTGGTAAGTTAATTTTGCACACAATATTTAAACACGATTAGTTAACATCATTTATTAACAGGGATGGGCAGCAGCGTCCTTCTTAAAATATATCTAAAGCCTAACTACGGTTGCCAATCCACCTGCCATGCATGGCAACTACTGGCAAAACCCCCTAAGGGAGAGGTTTATATTTAGAAGTGGACAGTTAAGGGCTGACATGATGATGATTTAACATCTAATAAGGTGCTCAATTCAACTTAATTTTTTACGATTATGCTTTATGATTACATAGATAATTCTAAACCGACTTTTATTATTCTTTTTGCATTAGATCAGGTTTCTCACTTATGAGTTCTATATTAATTGTGTAATGATCGGAATTGAAGTTTACCATAGCAAAACAAAAAATATCCTGTGAAGCAAAATCTGCATCATTGCGTGGAGACGTTACGCCTCATTACGTCTTTTATCGCATATATCTTGAAGAGTGTTCAAAAAAATTATTTGGATTAATACCAGCTGCTGAACTTCATCATCGTACAATCCGTTACAAGCTGAAGTTCCATCACGATCATCTGAATGAGAGGCAGTCCTCTACCATGCGTTTCTGTAGGCATTTTCTTCCACATATAAATAAAATCATTTATCCTGACTGACTATTAACACACAGATAAAATTACTAAGTCTATAAATCTAAAATTTCGAACATTGTTTTTTTAGAACATAAGCTTTTTATAAAATATAAACTTAAAGGAGAAACACGACACCACGCGCGTAAAGCCACCGGCAACAGAAAGATTAAGTTAGTATTACATTATCTGTGGAGAAAATATATCATACAAGTTTAATTACAGTGAATCAACGACGTCGCAGCATGACGTTAATTTAACTCCAATTCATCTTACACGTGTTAGACATTTATAGGATAAATATCAACGGAGTACGCCCACACACGACAAAATATTAATTTATTTATTCACAACTTTCCCCCTTTGATCTAATATAAAATTTTCTTTATAACAATATTTACAAGTTATAAAAATAAAGCTGTAAAAGTTCCTGAGCTTTTTGTTATGAAAAAAAACTGACAGTAATATGAACGCAGAAGTATATATATTTATTATATCAGATTGTCACTCAAACAGATATTTCAGACACACTCTTTGCGCGAGTGAAATAAATTATAGTAATATAAGATTTAACACAAAATTACGACTTCATGGCTGCAAAATTAATATGGAACCTTATATCTCTTATATCCATTAATATATTTTTTTATTGGATAATAATAGAATGGTAACCCCGCCTGAGCTATTGGTAAATACTGCTGGGACACCAGTAAGGGATGATAAGTGAAGGTGAAGCAGGTCAGTTAGCCCATCGTGACCAATTCAGTCAAGAATCAATGATGGTTTCCAGGACTAGGTCGCCTGATAGGGTATATAAATATCTTCTGTGTTAAGCTTTTGTTTATAAGCATAATTATCAAAATTAATTCAAAGTATCAAAATAAATAAATCAAAAGGGTCTGGAAGTACCAGAAGTTGAAGGTTATAGGCTATTCAAGTTCACGATACAACTACGAGTGAAGTCGCGTGATACAGTTAGTATCATCATCATATCAAGTGTTAGCTGCTAAATATAGACCACCTCTCAGTAAGTTTTGTCAGTAATTGCCATGCTTGGCAGGTGGGTTTGCAATCGCAGTTAGGATTTGACTTCCTCAATCGCCTCTAACGACATCCACGGGAAAGGAAAGGGTAGATAGATAGATAGATACTCTTTATTGTTTCCTCCAAAAGATTACAGTAGTAAACTTATTATAAATATAAATAATTACAAGAAATAATCACAATAATAAAACAATGGGCGACCTTATCGCTAAGAGCGATCTCTTCCAGGCAACCTTTGGATGGAGAGGAGTAATTATAAACTATTTTGGTAGCACATATTATATATTATCAAATAATAACACGTGTGTAAATATATAATACTTATTAACGTTTAATCAAACCCGACGAATTATAGTTATATGCTTTTATTCTAAATATAGTAAACATAGTTGTTTATCTAAGATTTATCTTGAATAAATATTGTAAAAATATCAAGTCGTTTTCTCCCCCAGTGCTTTAAATTTTAAATATTGCTAATACTCTATTCTATTATTATATATTTTAACAAAAATAGCAGATACTAATGTTGACAAACTCTTTGACCGTTTTGTGTTAATATTTTTTTTTATAAATTTATTTTTTTATAGTCTCTAAACAAATCGAAACATCCAAACAATTGTTCTATTTTTGATTTAACTATTATTAGACATTGTTGTATCAGCCATTAACTGTATATTGCTGAACATAGTCTCCCCTATAAGAGGGGGTTTGCTACTAGTTGCCGCGCATGGCAGGCGAGTTGACAACCGCTATTTGACATTTTAAAAAGACGATGTTACCCATCCCTCCACTATAAGCTGCCTTAGTCGCCTGTTACAACACCCACGGGAAAGGAAAGGGTGGCGTATTCTATACCAGGACCTACATGGCAAAACATTTATCATGAGACATTAGCAAACTGTTTTTTTGGTCGGATCAATTATTAGTTTATTTACATTTTTATTAAGTTCTATGGAAACACATTATACCTGTTTATAATTTCATTTGCGTAATTGGAAAATCATATCATTCCATTTCTGTATAATTCTATATTTTTTTATCTTGTTTATTTTTTGTATTTTAATTTTGCGTATACAACAACTTCTTGGTTTCAGAATAATTAACTACCAATACGAAAATATATAACTTGAAATACAATAAACACATATAATCATGATAAAATTAACTGTATTGTTATTTTATTTAACTGCTAACTATTGTATAATATTGCTTCAGACCGAACTGAAAAAATTATGCGAGCACGCATACACATGTTTTCATGACACCGTCATTATTTGTGGAAAATCGGTCAACGAAGCCAGAACATTCATTGATCTATGCGATTTGTATGAATACTCCTGTGAATATAATATGGGTGAGTATTTGTCAAACAATCAATAAATTTAATTGCATAAACATAGGTATAGTTATAAATTTTATTTTTATTGTAGATTTCAAATCAAATCAAATTCTTTATTTGTAAGAAATACGGGTCATTATGATGTTACAAAATAGAAATAATAAAAGTACATGCTTTCCACCCATAGGGCGTGCAAAATTATATATATATATATAAATATATATATATATATATATATATATATATATATATATATATATATATAAATATATATAATATATATATATATATATATATATATATATATATATATATATATATAGTTTTTACTAATATAAATTCAATCATTTAATGAATGAATTGTGAAAATTCTTTATTGTTCCCTTAAAAGAATTATACAGACTATAAAGGTTAATAAAATGTCAACAATAATTATTATCGTTATTAAACATTTTATTATACATTATTGGGAATTAAAGTTTAATCTGTAGATTTACACGATCACAAATTTAAAAGTTTTTTTTTTTATTCCTTAAAAATAACAAACAAGCTAGCGGCCCACTTGCTGGAAAGTGGTACCTGTTGCATGTGACAGTTCATTTTAAACTTTCGTGCTGTTTATATATATTTTAAATTCACGTTCTTTCCATCACATTCCTGATTTATCTAGTAAGAAAGGGGTATATAGCTAATATTTACCTGTAATTGCGTTACATTAAGTTTCGATCGTAAATTTTATATATGTCTTCTGTGACACCCATATTAGCCCTAACGCCTTTTTATCCTTAGGGCTAATTTATTATAATTATTATAATATAATATAATTTTTTTTTATCCTTATTGTCTTGAAAAAAATATTCGATTTCATTAGTAGAATAGACGCTAATGAATACAATTTCTCTTAATATTTTTTTTATATTTTCATTCACTATAATCATAACGTTTTATATGTGTTTCATAAGAGACTGGAATTAATACGATCATTTAAGTAAACTATAATAATTTAGCTAAATTATCTCGACATTTCGATCAGGTTACATCGGCCGTAGTCACGAGTATACTAATGTAGCGCTATATGTATGATTTAACTATTTTTTTTTTTTTAGTTTACAGGCATGTAAAAGAAGAAGATGGAGTTTGTCCAAACCCAAAGGAGTTAGGTACCGGTATTGGGTAGTAAAAAATGCAAAAAATACAATGTAAAAATCAATGAAACTTATATTTTCCGTTAAAATGTAATACAGAAATTTAAAATATAACAAATCATGAAAATTTTATATTAAATTTATAAAAATATAAATGTTTTTATTAATAATAAAATATTTCTATTGAACTATATAATCTCATTAATCATTTTCTTTTTTATTTTAAAATAACAAATTACTAATAGATTTAGTTAAAACCTTATTTCATGATAAACATGAAAATAAAATTTATTTATTTATTAACAAATTATACCGCTGGCTGTTATTTTTTATGTTACTTAAAAAATACTCATATACTCTATTATCTTTAAGTCTAGCAACGGTTACCATTTTCCATTAGGTAAGCCGTCAGCTTATTTGTCAATCTAAGTTGCATAAAAAAAAATTGGATTACAATTTAGCACTAGCATAAAATCTGGAACAAAATATAATACAACTGAATTAAAGATGGAAAATGAATGGAAACTCATATATACACATACAAGTAAATCAAAATAGTGAACACTCACTATATTACCTATAACAATTAACTTCAAACATACGGGAAATATCATAAATTTACCGTTAACTGAAATTGTTGTCATGACAATAAACTAGGATAGGACTGCCTATGGCATAACAAGGCCATCCCACACCATGTATTCGCCACATCGTTATTAATTGGCAAAATTGAAATAACCACAGGATTAAGATGTACACTGGAATAGTAAACTTCTAAGAATGACAATTGCAATAAGTCAAAATACTGAAAATATAATAAGTAGAATACGCTTCTATAAGTAGTATATAATAATAAAATAACTATATACATCGCAATAAAATAAATTGTAATAATTCCGTCAAAGGATAAAGAAGTAAATAATTAATATGTAGTTATTATATATACACACACAATATTAATGGGTATATATTAAAAGCACTTTTATAATAAAAAGAATAGTATAATTTTTTAGTATGATTAATTTAAAGTTGTATTATTTAATGTACATATAAAAAGTAAAAGACTGATATAAATCATAGAATTATTTAGAACATGGAAGAGAAATTTGCGTTATTAAGCATGAATCTGCAAAACAAAATCAAGTACTTGGATTTTTTTCTACTAACGGCATTGGATCTGTCCTGTCCTCAAAATGGTTTAGAATAACATTTTTAAACAGTGTTCCATATTTTGGAATTCTCTTTCCAATTCTAAAAATAATGCTATCATTGTCTGCGCTGTCCTCCTCTGCATTATGACGTCTAGTTTCTTTATGTATCTCAATTTCTTCTGGTAACTTTGACTTTTGCGCACTTTTACTAAGGTTTTCAACTAATTGTTTAATTACTTTTTCATTGTTTTCAATTACTTTGACTAAATATCCTAATGCTTGTCCATGTTCGATCAGCTTTTCCTCTATAAAGTTGTTGCAATCATTTTGCTTAGATGTGTCCCGCTTTTCAATTCTCTGGCAAAATCAAATACTACATACAAGTTACTAGACTGCTCTATATATTTAGAATGTAATTATATTATCAATTGTTCATTTATCTCACCGTTGATGCTTGTGATGAATAATCCAGTATGTCCTCTAAGTCTTCTATAGGCATTTGAGAAGATGATGTTACTATTAACACGACCGTGATAGCTAAGACAATAAAAAATAACACATTTTAGTACATTAACTATATTATTGTCATATATTTTTTTAATTGTCGCAATGAAATTATTGGATAATGATCACATGACATGAACATCATCATGTCATATTGTCAACTTGCCCAATACTACTAATAGTTCTAAATATCATAAAAAAAATATTTCCGAACACATCTTTTTGGAATTGGATTGAGAAGTTTTAGAAATTTTACTATAACATTACTACGTAAAGATTCAAATTACATTATGGCTCACCGAATACTAGAGGCTTCATGGCGTTTTCAATTCAGGCCATCCAACAAGTAGCCCGGGCTAGACGGCTCAGCCACTTATAGTGTGGGTAATTGAGAACTACACGTGAAACGTCTTGATATTTGATATACCTACCTATTCAGTTAATTACACCTAATTTAGCGAACAGAGCAAGCAATCACTACATTATCCGTAATTTAGTGCTTGTTTGTTTATAACATCTTATTGTATAATACCTTTTACCCGCAACTTCGTACACGTGCTTATTTTTTTTTAATGGTTGATAATGAAATGGTAATCCCGCCTGCGCTATCGGTATACGCTTGCGGGGCACCAGTGAAGAATGATAGGTGGAGATGAAAGCAGGTCAGTTGGCCCATCACGACCATTTTATCAATAATTAAGCATGACGGTTTTCAGAGGGAACCGCGTGAAAGTCGACCTGTTAGGATATATTGCTAGCAATGGGATTGTTAGACACCATTACTAACAATCTCTTTCTCCGCACACATGCTTATTGAAAGTAAGAAAATCAATGAAACCATTCACTTCTAGAATACCTACGAAGAAAGAAAGAAAAATATTTATTTGGCGCATAACATTGACATAGTTATAAGATAAAACATACATCTAATTTTAAGTTGAACTTTCAGGAACAGCATCTAATATGATGCAGTAGTTTTTGCGTGATACCGAAGCAAACATACATACAGACTAAAATTATAAAAAAATATTGCTTCGATATGTAATCGTATGGTCCCAGCATAGAACGGACCACTCCTTCCTTTTCTATGAGTGTCGTAAGAAGCGACTAAGCGAAAATAATAGTCGAGAGATGAAGAGCAGCGTCCTTCATAAAATATTACGAAAGCCTAACTGCGGTTGCCAACCTGCCTACCAAACGTGTCAACTACTTGCAAAAGTCTTCTTATAGGAGAGGCCTATATTCAGCAGTGAACAATTAATTGTGGATATAATTAAAAATATAATAATTATTTATTTTAATCAATATCTCCTATTTACAGATTTATAAATTACAAAACACAAATTTATATTATTAGTGCCTACTTATAATTACTTACCATGCTTTACAGCAGAAAGAGTTGAGAGATGCAAATGTGGAAACACAACTTGTAAACCCGAACCCTAGCATTACACCAAGAAGAAAAAGAATTTTATCAAATAAGAGTCCGGCAGTATTTACTCCTCCTCCTCCTCCTCCAGTATATACATATCTCTCGGAATAAATGATGCTTCATGATGAATTTCTCTATTTTATATGGACCATAGTAACGAAAAAGTAAAATGTGACTTACTTATATTTGCTTTTAATATTTTTTAATGATTTAAATTCTGTATTACAGTAGGTATGTATAAAAGCCCTTAATCGTGCCCTAAAGCGTGCTATAATAAAAAAAATTATATGCATAGTATAAAGAGATCTAGCGGTTAATTTTCCAGGATGTAACAAAAAATTTAAATTTAAAAGTAAAAATAAAATTATAACGATCAAGATTAGTAAGAGACTATTGACTCTCGAAATATGATTTATAGTTACTAAGCACGTTTTGATTGAATTATGTACGTTGATACGGGTCTCAGTTACGAGCTAAATTGAACTATTAGTATTGTACTTTTATACCATGACATAAATTAAGATTATAAAATACTAATAAATTGCATTGCAATTCCTAATTAATAACTAGATTATTAAACTAATTTATTTGCCTTTTCAAAAATTTAATTTAAAACATATTAAAAGTAATTCTAAACTCCGTCGTTTTTAAAATGTATATTTCTATTTAAAGTAATTTTAGACCTTGATTATTTTATTTTAGCTTTTTATATCTTTAAATATTTCGTTAAATTTTAAAAATAAAGCTAAAATTGTAGTACAATTTAGCAATAAAAATGTGACTATAAATTTTAAATTATAGAACTTATTACCTGGCTCAATATACATAAATAATAAAAACGATAAGTGTGCAGAAAACTTTAGTTTTATGTATAATGCAAGTGACAAATATTGACGTTATTTACACCAATAACCAACTACTGCCTGTTATGATGTAGTACCATGAAAATTTCACTAGGTAAGTCTTTGCTAATGTTATAGTGACATATATAAGAATTATCATCATCATCTCAGTAATTTTTTTTAATGGATCATAATGGAATGGTACGCTGACTGTATACGCTGGCGGGGTACCAGTGGGGTATGATAGGTGCGATGAAAATGCTGATGAGTTAGCCCATGGTGTTGGGCCACCTAACCAAAAATTCAGCATGATGGTTTCCAAGGGGAACCACGTTGAAGTCGACCTGACAGGGTATATTGCTAGCAATAGGACTGGTAGTGCGCATTACTAACAATCCCTTCTCCCCATATAAGCCGTTATCTGTCTGCTAAACATAAGACTGCGGAACAATATGTGAATGGAGAGAAGAAATTATTAGTAATTTCGATTCCCTCAGGTTAACCACATGAATGTCAGGTCGACATACCCCTAGTGCTCCGGGAAACCATCGTCATTAACTCCATGTGAATTCACATCTATATCTACACCTAAAGTCTTTCATGACTATCAATATCAACCTAAATTTGTCACGATAGACCAAGTGACCAGACTTCATCTTCATCCATCATCATTTACGAATATTCCATCAACGTAAACGTCCACTTTAATTAAAAATATATATTATACTTATATTACTGTGGTTACATAAATGAAACATTTATGTAAATTGAAATTAAAGACTATAAAATATACTTATTCCTTAATTATAAATAATAAAGGATCAACATGAGATAAAACGTATTTAATTATATTATTTTTTTCAAGTTATTGTTGGCAAAAAGACTTATCAAAATCGATTCGGAAATAAAAACACATAATTTATCGATTCTGTAATTTTCTTCGGTCGCTCCATTCAAATGTACAATTTACGCATTGCTATTTTAATAGAATGTTACTATTAATATAAATAGTAACATTCTATTAAAATAGCAATGCGTAAATTGAATTTAGCTACTGTTAGTACTCGTATATTATAAATTTTAATTGTTTTGTTTGTTTTGTTTTATACAACTTAGAATGGCAAACAAGCTGACGGCCCACCTGATCGAAAGTGGTAACCGTCGCCTATAGACATGAGCAGTACCATGGACATAACAGAGTATACTGCGTTGCCATTCCTGAGGACTCAGGTGTTATTCCTCTGTACCCAGTAAATTCACGCCATATCCCACCCTTCAAACCGAAACATAGTTATGCAAACACAACTGCTACTAATTTCTTTAATATATGAATTTATTTCAGCTTTTGTTTTATATCTGGTGTCATCTGTAAATAGTCACAGTGAATCAATTAAAGTAAGTAACAGATTTCATAAATGTATTTAATTTCAATCGTATAATGTATGAAATTTTATCATTGGTATACAAAATACCCAAGATGCACAATCTGAGACTAAAAACCAGTACTGAAAATAGAGTTCATTTGAAAATAATGTAGATTCATTTTTAAACATCTAATGGCATTACAGCCAAAAGTGTAGAAATGTACTTACAAATTTTGTAAAAATATAGGGACTGATATAATTAGGTATCGATAAATAAATTTATTCTACTCTTGTCCTGCCCTACGATAACTATTTATTCCTTTTAATTATAATTCAGAAAACTTTTAAGTGCACAAACTTTTGTACGAAATGTGAATCTGATTTTTTTATGTCTATGTATCTTACGCATAATCTATTCGCAGAATGAAGAGGAATGTAAAATAGCTGATTTATGCGTACATGATAAAGTTCCTATGTGCGGGATTGACTCTTGTGGCGAAATGCGAACATTTATTGATACTTGTGATATGCACGAGTTTAATTGCGACAGCAAGAAAGGTATTAACAAATTAATTAATTAATTAAATGTAGTTGTTTGTTAGGTAATTTGTATTTAATAAATGGATATATTTGTTTGAAACTGATTAAATGTAACTAATTACCAAAAATAAAGAAAAGAGATAACTTTTATATGAAATCCTTTTTACCATTAAAATTTGATAGTAACTTTGTTTGTCTGTTAGCTCTTGTTTTGATTCTTGGCACTTGAATCACTCAACCAATTATCACAAAATTTGACATTTGGGATGGAAAAGGACATAGGTTGCTTTTATATTATATTATACCGGTTAATAAGTATATTTTGGTTATTAATAAATATATTTACAAATTAATTATACTTGCGAGTTCCGTCGCAAATCATCCATCCTAAATACATTGTATACACCTTTAGCGATCAGCTAGGGTATGGCCTTATGAGCTGCAATGTAACTAAAATATATATTTTATTTATTTATTGATTACATTACAAAAAATGACTGGTACAAAAGGCGGACTTAATGCTTTATAGCATTATCTCCCAATCAACCTTTGGCAAAACAGAAATGTAATTATGCGGTAAAAAATTAAAAATTGTTATAGATAAACAATTACACGTACGTGTCCATACTCACTTACAAATATATATAATACCTAAAATTTCAGATTTCAAACAACGTCCCATCCACGAATGCTGGGTAACGTGCAAGAGGGGGCGGTCTTTCAAGAAACCCGAATATAGAACGGACTGCAACATCAATATTAAAAATAATAATAGACTATAATTCAATGAACTATTTGCGTTTCATTTCTTATTTTAGAAAGTATGTATTATTTAATTTGCGAGAAATGTAAATACCTAAATCGAAATAAAATAAATAAATATATTCACAATTGAATCTCAACACTCAATATAAAGGAGTGCGCCGAGCATATTTGAATCAACAATACCGCCGCGCCGTCTCGCTAGGATTAGAAGCACAAACAGATAAAGGTACACATTTTCGAATTTACTCTATTACATACATGGATAGACATACTATGTGCCAACAACGATAAGTATAGTATATAATTTATTATGTACATACTAACAACTGCAAGTTATCAAGTGTAAGTATAACGAATGGCGGTCTTCCACCGTGCGTTTCTCAATGCATTTTCTCCCACGCACAACCACTCTTTGGAATCAACTTCCAGCAACAGTATTTCCGAACCGATACGACATCATAACCTTTTAGGAATATGTTCTTTTCTTGAAGAAAAGAACATATTCCTATTTAAAAGGCCAGCAGCACACTTGCAATGCCGTTGGTGTTGTGAGTGATAATGGGCGGCGGTAGTCACTTACCATCAGGTGACCCGCATGCTCGTTTGCCCTTTGTATTGTAAAAAAAAATCTTATGTTATTATACACACATTCTAAAACCTCCATCCATTCATCGCATTTCGCATCAATTCAATATCCAACGCACTACTACAGCTAAAGGTACTCACTTGAATAAAATTGTTAAGTGTAAATTGCAAGCATGAACAACATCGTGACGGTTACAATTTTTCATCAAATGGGCCGTCAGCTTGTTTATCATTCTAAGTTGTTTATAAAAGCATTATGAATATCACATTTAAAACACTATGACGCCCACATTACACCACATACGTTGCCATTCCTGAGGATTAAAATGTTTCTAGTTTATGCTGGCGGGGTGCCAATGAAGAATTGATTAAACAGAATAAACTCAAGCTCAAATCTTAAGTCAACCTCCACGTGGTTTCCCCTGGAAACCATCGTGATAAATTGTTGATAAATTTATCATAATGAGGCAACTGTCCTGACTTCATTCTCACCTATCCTCTCTCATTGATACCGCGCATATAGGTACCAATAGCTCACGCCGAATTACCATTCCACTATCATCCATTAGAAAAGAAGTCCCCATTAATTCTTCAGGACAATGGTGTTATGCATCCGTACTCTAACTTTGCTTAGTACGTATAATACGAGTATATCTTTTGTACAATCTCTCCTACATTTTCTTTGTGTCTACGTTTAATAAACTTAACCATAAAAATGTATGTATATTATTTTTGTTCAAGTTAATCCATGAAAATGGTATAAACATTTATTGCTCTCAACATAAGTAGATATATGTATATTGCTTTCCACATACTTACAGATTTGTTTTATTCAGCAACTGAGTAGAAGGAATGCATCAATAATTTAATATCATATAGATAAACAATAAACATGTACAAATACAGACTCTATTAATATGTCCAATGTCAATTGTGTGCTAATTATAATTGGTTTATCAGCATTAATTAAATACTCCTACCCACACATTGATAGCGAAAAGGTAAGTGGAAAATCAATAAATTAATTTGATTTATCATCAAACAGATATATATGAATATGTATTTATATTTATTTATTTATACTTTAATATACAATAAAATTCTATGTACATTTAACGAACTTAATACCGGGCGGTGTTCTTTATCAGTCAAGCAGTTAAGCAATTTCTGGGTACAGAGGAATAACACCTGAGTCCTCAGGAATGGCAACGCATGGGGGGTATCATGGGCGAAACAGTATACTTTGTTATGTCCATGGTACTATGTCTATAGGCGACGGTTACCACTTTCCATTAGGTGGGCCGTCAGCTTGTTTGCTATTCTAAGTTGTATAAAAAAAAGCATTGGGAAAACAGAGAAATCAGTGGAAGGTGCATTACTGAATTAAAGAAATATAAAGTAATACTTAATAGATTCATAAATTCTAAACATATAATTAGGCCAATATAAACATACACATAAAATATTAAATATATATATATATATATATATATATATATATATATATATATATATATATATATATATATATATATATAGTAAACATACATGAATAAATATATAAATATTACTATTACAAACAATTAATTGATAAATCCTCACGTGACATCGCTAAATAATGTTCCGCTAACTAAATCACAACTGAAATATGGCATTGACAAACTGTAATGCAAAATAAATATACATTTAACAGCTTTAATTATTTAGATGTACAATTTAAAATGTATGAGCTAAGGTCAAAACGCAATTATAAAATATTAGATAAATATTGGATGTCGTCCTGTAAGAGAGGCGTTACTCGATCGTTTTTAGCATTTCCACTGGATATCTAGTTATTATTATTAATCAAAGATCTAGAATCTTAAAATTTTAAATATTCCATTTTCTTTATGTGCACTTAGTACAAAGTAAATATAAAAATATTTTTAACTGATCCAGCGTAAACACGAAATAAAAATAAATCAAGATCGGTATTCGATTACATTCGATTCGATTGAGCTTTCATCGTGCAATTCAAAGGTTTCTAGGAAAGTATCCATAGAAACGCGAGAAAATTTCAAAGCGTGAAGCCAACAAATATCAAATATACAAACTCGTTTAAAATTAGATTTAGCAACAGGATATATTTGTGACCATTATACATTTCAATATTTTGATTAAATTTATTCATTGTTGTCTTACAAGGCTGGAGTATTTACAAAATGTTGTTTATAAAGTTTATATATAAATATTAATATAATATTTATTGTTCCTGGTAAGTATATTAGATTATTCAACATACATATAAATGGGATAGTACTATTAAAATATTGAAAGACAGGGATGGACCTTCGGTGTACTATACTATACAATGTGATACAATATCAATGCATAGGGGGGAAAGGGATTGTTAGTAATGGAGACTAAAAATCCCATTACTAGCAATATACCCAACCAGGTTGACCTCCTCGTGGTTCCCCCTGGAAACTATCATGGTTCATTCCTGATGAATTCATCATGATGGGCTAACTGGTCTGTTTTCATTCTCATCTATCACCCTTCACTCCACATCCACCAAAAAAAATATATATCAATGCATCGGTGTGTATGTTTTAAGGAAATAAAGATAATCGTATTCATACATAGCACACCTACAAGTAAATAGACATTGTATCATTGGGCGCGCATCATCTTATATCGCCTTGTCACATAAAGGTGACATTGTGATTTAACGCGCTCGATTTTAATAACAAAAAAAATTTTTAGCTAAACGAAGAATGTCAAATAGCGGACATATGTCGCCACGACCAGGTACCAGTGTGTGGGATCGACTCATGCGGTGAAATGAGGACCTTCATTGACACATGCGATATGCACGAGTTTAATTGTGACAGCAAAAAAGGTAAACATTCATAATCATTCATTATTACCAGAGGGAGACTTTGTACAAAAATCGATTGCTTGGGTACCTCTGCCCCATTCGTGTTTCTACTGTGAAGCAGTTGTGTTTGCATGGCTGTGTTTCAGTTTGAAGGATGAGATATGGCGTGAATTTACAGGGTACAAAGGAATAACACCTGAGTCCTCAGGAATGGCAACGCATGGGGGGTGTCATCGGCGAAACAGTATACTCTGTTATGTCCATAGTACTATATATAGTCCATAGTGCTCATGTCTATAGGCGATGGTTACCACTTTCCATCAGGTGGGCCGTCAGCTTGTTTGGCATTCTAAGTTGTATAAAAAAAAAAGAATTTCACTAGAATTAACCACTATGGTTAATTCTAGTGGAATTAACCAAGGAGAACCGCATGGAAGTCAATTGAATGTATTGCTAGAAATGGGTTAGATAGACCCCATAACTAACAATCCCTTTTGCCGTCTAATATTTCTTATTAGAATTATTTTATCTGAGACTAAAAAAACTAACTTCTAAGAAAACCCAACGCATTTTGTTTCGTTTCATTATTGCTAGGTACTTGAATAAAAACAATGTTTCCATTAATATTAATACCTTTTGATTTGTTTTAATTTACGTAGGGATAGTAGCTTCATAGCTATGAATGAAGGAAAGATATAATTAATCTTTGTCTGATATTTCGAAAGGTTATTCTCCCACGCCTATATGTAGATAAGTGTTGAAGTATTCAAAGTTTTATTTATGTCTCGCTGTTATCCACAACATCGTCCGTGTAGGTTTATTTTGAACAATAAAATAGTTTTATATAAATAATGTTAAACTTTAATGCACAGTAAAATTCTATGTACATTTATACGGCGGACTTAACGCCGGACGGTGTTCTCTAGTCAACCATTGAACAAACCGAGAAATACGTAGGCGGTGCATTTTTGAATAGAGAAAAAAATAAAGCAATATTATCTATCTATCCTATTTATGAGATGCTCTGTTGTCGGTGGAACTCTTGCCACTGCTCTGTACTCTGTCCTACTTAGGGTTAAGGAAAAAAGACAAGTTATAAAAACTATTGAGGTCGGAAGGAAAAAATGTTAGGACACATGAAACGACACGACGAACTTATGAACATTATAATAGAAGATAAGATAGAAGGGAGGAGGGGAAAGGGGAGACCAAGGCATAGTTACATCAGGCGGTTCAAGGAAAAAGTTGGTGTTGTGTCGTATCAAGAGGTGAAGAAATATAGTATTATATATACCTATGTTATTTTCGAATTACTATTTTGATTTCATTTTGTTCATAACGTTACACCGTCAATTAAATTTTTCGTTACTCCTATCTACGGTTGACCGGTATATAATGCCATATGGTGTCATGTTGACCATTTACACTTTATAGGTGTATTAAAGTTTAATAAAATAAATAAATAAAATAAATATACTGGGTCAAAATATGTCCCATTTTTTTTAAACAGCTGTCTATATAATAAATAGAAATCCTCTTATAATAAAAGACAACTATTGAACGTATATATATGTAGGTATATAAAGTATGAAAAGCCGAACCTATCCACTATTCTCTTTAACATCTTGGTCTGTGGCCACGGTTTATTTCGTAATGGTCATAACACAATACAAAGCCTACAGCGATGAAGAAATCATCCTTTATTATCCATACATACGTGTAGTGATTCTCTTAATGCATATTTAGTTACTTATTCATCACAATTTATGTATAAATCATCTATAACCTTAAATCAAAAATAGTACTACGAATCCGGTAAAAATTTTAAACATCGCTGACGAAATATCATCTCACTTATAGAACGGATTCTTATTTTGGATAATACTGTTATTGATCTATATATCAATAAATAAACTGCTCTTTGTCACTGGTTAATAAATCTTTTGTCGGTTCTTAATTTAAAAATTTTAAAATGAAATTATTTTTAAAAGCTTGTTTTTCTTTTAAACAATAAATACATTCTGGCGATGTATGTAGGTATGTTATGTCTGCTGGAATGCAATGTCAATGCAAAGCAAAATCGTGACAATGTCACGGCATTAATAAAATCTGTTTTTTACATTACATCTCCTTGTCAATGAACTATGATGTTTATATTTAATATTTTGTTTTAGTGAGATGTGTCCTGTTTTCATGAGATATTAACTAAAAGATATTAATGATCGTAATACACAAAACAACTATCAATATTTTGACTTTTGTTTTTTTTTTTGCTTTTTTTTTGTTCAATAAATAATTTTTAACAAATAAACAACATACAGCAATGTATGTAACATTGCTGTTTCGCGACAAAAATAGATATAATAACGTTCTACCTACTCACTGAGTCACATAAAATGATGTACAAATATTTTATTAAATGGCAATTTATTTCAATTATTTAAGCTTCATCAACCACAAAAATACAACGCCAACGATTCCTCTGATTACTGACATTTACTTATTTAAATACCAATACGTTCAAATAAACCGGCTATAAATAAGTAAAACAAAATATTCCTTTGATATTTAAGAAAATATACGTTCGACGAACATTTACCTAGTGTTGACTCAGAGGGATCGACTACTAAGCTATTCTTGTGAAACCCTACTCCCTTCGTCTTACTGAAAACCAGTTTACAAAGACCCATAGCATCTATCCCATTTGCTACATAATTGAGTTAAATAAATATAATGTTCAGGTCAACACTTGCTGGCCACTTTAACGCCTACGCTGGCGCCGATGACACGTGCTGCGTATTAGCATTTTATTCGTAACAAAACTGAACTTCGTATAGCTTAGAGCATGTTTTTTTTTTATTTAAATCCTATTTAGGTACTTTTCCTAAAAATTTGTATAAAACAAATCGTCATCGTTATTATATCAGCCGTTAACTGTCTACTGCTGTATATAGACCTTCTCCTTGGGGAATTTATGCAAGTAATTGCCTGGCTTGATAAGTGGGTTAGCAACCGCAATTAGGCTTTGGTGATGTTTACAAAAGGACGCTAGTACTTATCCCTCGGGATGACGTCGTCGAAAAAGGTGACAAGTCGAGACTTGTCACCTTGGGAACTTTTCGACACTCATGGGAAAGTAAGAGGTAACCCATTTTATGCCGGGACCAGACGGCTTAATATAAAATAAATAGTTCATATTAAATCGACTAGATTCGTAAACTAGGCAAACAGCAAAATATTGCTCTACTTGTGTCCGAGTTCGATGAATTACTCCTATTGCGTAAAAAAATCTTTATTTTTTTTATATGTGTACAACTTAATATATATATTCTTTACAGATTTCGTTCAAAAACCAGTTCATGAATGTTGGGTGACATGCAAGAGAGGTAGAAGTTTTAAGAAATCGCAATACGGCAGCGAATGTGACAAGGAAAATATCGTTTAAAAAAAATACATTTTTTTTATCAAAAACTGTTGTTTTTTTTTTTTAATAATAACAAATGAACAATAACTTACTATACGTACTTATTGTTCGAGATCACAGTGTATTAATACGAATAAAATTCTGATAATATTAATTTAAATACTAGACTATACTTAAATTTAAACACTATTACTAAGGAAACATAAATAGAAAACCAGTTTACAGTTTAAATTACGCGCATAATTTAAACAAACATTTACATACACTAATTAATTACTTATTAAAATACAAGTCTAATTAATGATAGTTATATACAATTACTCATTCAAAGGTTACGTTGTTACATTGTAAGTTATGACTTAGATACACAAAATTTAAACTAATACATCTAAAGTATACAAGGTGACGATATCATTATTATCTATGTTCTTATATAATATTTAAAACATTAAATCATAAATATTTACAATAAATAATTAATTACTACAAGAACATGCATGTATAAAAACTTGACAAAATTTTTGAAATGTAATGAAAAATAAACACTTAGTTGATGTGAACCCTCGTTTTCTAAAATACTTATTACTTTATAAAAAAAAAAAAGTTTGCTATTAAATGTAAACATCCAGAAAGAATATCTCGCTACAAATGACCTATGGTACTTTAGTTTTATGTAATCTATTTCTATTATAGCCCACATATTTCTATTATACTTAAACTTACAATATTGGCCAGCGTGTACTTTATAAGGATGTTAAATTATTACAGTTATTACTGGCAACACCAAAAAATGGCGCGCTTCGTTTTATTAAAAAAAATACACTTCAACGAACTGTTGGAGTTAGATAACAGTTTTTTCGTTACATTTGACACTTGATATTCTATCTAGATGTAAAATCTATATTAGCACCTAATGACTATCCAAAAATCCAGCATTTTTGACGATATTATAAATTTTCTGCCTCGGAATTTTCTCTGCTTCTCTCTCAACAACTTGCATCTCCTTATTGGTGAACCACGACTCCTTCGCTAATCCAGAAGCAATCACTGGATTGTCGTAGAAATCACTGGACTTTAACAAATCACGGGGTAATAGAGCTTCGCTGGCTGCGTTTAATTCTACTGCTGGGTGGGCTCGGACAGCTGGAATTGACGCGTGGGCGTATTCCACTCCAATTGGCTGCAAAGGCTGGGTAAATATAAACCCAGGTCTAGCTTGTGCCACTGCTAAAACTGCCGTGGCTATGATTAGACAGCGCATTTTGACCTGAAAGAAAACAAGTACTTTGTTGAATGACGTCCAAATATTGATTGTTTGTAATGATATCTGAGAGTATCTGTGACATGTTTTGCTAAGTCTGAGAGCGGAGACAGTGAAAATTATCATGGTTATGTGAATTTAACATAACGGACTAAGTTTAGCCTCAGTTACCATCCTTCACTAGTACCCCGCCAATAATATGTAAATTTGCAACAATGGAGTTGAAATACCACTTTCATAAATTAAAAAAGAAAATAAGTACCTACTCTAATATATCAACTTCGGTGGAATAGTTTGATATTTTTTTTTTAAAGTAACGTTAATTAAGGTCTCAGATAGACCCAAAACTAGTGAAGTACCATCATCATATCAGCCGTTACGTATTCACTGCTGAACATAGGCTTCTTTCTATTGATGGGGTTTGCCAATAGTTACCACACTCGACAGGCAGGTTGACAACTGCAGTTAGGCTTTGGTGATGTTTAAAGAGGGACTGCTATGCATCCCTCAACCATTAAGTACCCTTAGTCGCATCTTACGATATCCACGTTAAAAGAAAAGAAACTAGTAAAGTACTCCGGACATTAATACATATATATTAATTAGCTTATTTTTAGCTATCAAAACAATGTCAAATATATATAACTTGTTTAAACAGGTCTAAAATTAATATTATAATGAGATGACATAAATTTTATTCATTGTTCATTTATTAATATTATTAAACAAAATAAAAATATATTTTTAAACTTATATCTCAATTAGAATTAAACCGAAATTATTATGAATGTTTGACGTTGCCAAAGTTTTCTCATAACTTTTCGAAATATTTTCAAAGAAAATTAATATAATTAATTATATATTCTTACTTTAGAAATTATATCAAATATAATTAAGCCCTTCAAAGAGATCAAAAAATCTTTCATGTTTTTAACTTACAGTCTGAGTTCTATTATTAGTTTATCTTTTCTATATTTTTGTCTTGTTCAAATAAAAGTTTGTAATAATGTTTATATGTTTGAATTTTCTTTTTTATTTAATCGCGCTCAAAGAACTGGATTAATTTTATTGAAATTAGAGTAGAGAGGAGCGATATTTCAAAAATATCGATATTGGTATTATATCGTTACTTCAGTATCGGTAATCCAATATTATCGTAAACAATATTATAAATATCCATATATCTTTACACTATAACTTGGTCTTTAGTAAATATAAAAATGTAATGCTAAAAACACTACATTTTAATCAATACTGATTGCACTTGAAGAACCCCAGCTCACTAATACAATGTTACGAATACTTTAATGACAATGTGTTGATATTTTAGCAAAAATATTAATATTTTGAAAATAACAGTGTCTACATTAAAGTATCGATATTTTGGTTCTTGATATTTCGATATTATTGAGAAATATCGCTCATTCTCAATCTAAAATAATGTAATCCCAACTCACGAGACCTAAACCACGGGAAATATTTAGTATTATTAATATGATCATTGGTAATTAGTTGATGTAATTATTATTCGACCGCGCTTATAAGCTAAACAAATTTTAATGAAAGTACACAAATGAACAATATACATTTTACACGAGCGAAGCCGTATGCCACAGCTAGTAAGTAATGCGAATATTTATACATGTAATATAAATAGTAATAAAATGTATATAGAAGCTAAAAATAAAAAATAGCCGGACAAAATTCAGCAAACTTAAGTTTATCGTATTAAATTGCGTAAACGATCAGAAATACCCTGTTACAAAGGTATCGATTTAGAAATAAATGTTTCACTATAGATGCTGAATGAAATCTAATTATAGAGGGCTCAAAGTAAATGTTCTTTTTATAGAAAAGTCTTTTAAAGATCTTTATCATAAAAAGTATTCGACTAAGACAATATTCATATTGCTTGAAAAAATCTTATATATATTTCGCATCGATTCTTTTTTTTTTTTTTAATAGTTTCAAGAACCAAAATATTTTCGTTCTTAAGTTAATTTAGATACATAAACTATTCAAAATAATAAAAATAAAAATGAATCTAAATAATTATTTTGTATCGTCAAAGTACTTAAATGTGATAAAAAAGCTAACTCCAGATGATTCCAAAAGATTTCAATGGGTCGAAAGTGGGTTACTTAGGCTTTCGTGTGCAACACCGAGTTAAAATACAGTCTAAGAACAGTCTAGTCCCACTAATATTATTACGTTAGATTTTTATGTTTAGTCCCCTTCCCGCCTTAATGAAATATTACTATTTCGTGAAGAAAATAATGCTATTGCTTCTTCATCAGTGACCCTTAATTTTTTAATTCGTGTTCAAGAACTATTATTACACCAGCCATAACCACTGTCACCATAGATAACACAAAAAATATTTTCTCCTGCGCATTTAAAATTTTAGACATAGATTCGATATTTGAAAACGTAATTCATAATAGAAGCACGTACACACACACACACATATGTTTTGTAATATGCGTCACTTACGTTCAAAACTTTTCACGGTCACAATGCAATACGCAAGCGTGCTGAGTCGGTCACTGCGCGGGCGCATACAATACAACGAATATATAGCCTTTGCCGCGCAAATAACCTTCTCTACAAGCTTCCGGGACAGCCTCATACATTCGAACTGATGCTTGGGATATTTTTTTTTTAATATCATACTAATTTAAAATGATCCGTTATGACTTAAGTAGTCACGACTTTGTATCATTGATCTTCGTAAATTATATTGTAAACACAGTGACATTATAATACTGTAGTAATGAGTAAAATTGTATGAAGTTATATGTTTCGAATTTTATTAAGAATTTTCTCACTTTTAGATTTCTCTAGAACAATCCCTTTACCGGAATCTTTCACTATAAGATTGCTCTTTTACTAAATAAGAATTTCGAAAAGTAAATTTAATAATGTTGATCGAAAATAAAAAAAAATACTCCAAAGATTATACTCTTCTGAGATAATACAATATATTATGACGTTAATTTCTATCATATATCATTACATTTCTCGCATTAAAGTATAAATATTAGTATAAGTCTATCTATCCTATTTAAGAGCTGCGCTCTTTTCGGTGGAGCTCTTGCCACTCACTACGATTTTCAGCGAGTCTTTTCACCTCTTGATACGACGCGACACCAACTCCTTCCTTGATAGGATTGATCTGCCTGATATAACTAAGCCTCGGTCTCCCTCTTCCCCTCCTTCCTTCTATCTTACTTTCTATTATAATGTTCATAAGTTCATAGTGTCAAAATAAGTATTATTCTTAAATCTCAAAATTACATAGAATCAATTGTGTACAAACGACTAAACGGATTTGAATGAAACTTGGTAACTAGGTGTATTACGGTTTGAAAAGTGTAACATAACGGTTAAATTACAGGACGTAACATTGTAGTCCTCTAGAATGACAATATATGTCTGTGAGCGTCACAGTGTATTCTGTAATGTCCATGACGTAGTTCTTGTTTATAGTAGGCTATGGTCAATAATTTATATCAGGTAAGGCTTCGGCTTTTCCTCATTCCGAGATACATAAAAATAAAAATACCATATACAGAACTAAAACATGTCAAAGCTCACGTCCGCAGCACCGCGACATGTATTTCATACAGCAACTTTTATATGTATATCATATATATACCATATATGATTTTTTATGTATATTTGGTAGATCTAAGAATAGATCGCAGAATATTTTTTATACCCCTAGTGACAGGGGTGACCCTCCTCAGAATTTGTTTTCTAATTTTAGGACGAAAATTGTTTTATATATGTTTTATGATTTGACATCAAAAAATACAAAAATAAATATCTTTCAGTCATAGATGAGTTCTATCGTCCCCACATACTTATAATAAGTTAGTTATTTGTTATTTAAGTACTTAAATATTTAATAGAAATAATTCAAAGGCAATGGTTTATATATTTATATATATATATATATATATATATATATATATATATATATATATATATATTCTTTTAGTTATATACTTCATTATCATGTTATATTAGTAACTACAATTATATTGATTTATTCATTAACTAACGTATAAAGCGAGTCCGTTCGTCAAAATAAAACGTAACTAACAAACTCACTTTCACATTAATATTAGAAGGGATAACTAACATATACCTACATACAATAAATTGAAAAAAAACATTTGATTAATTATCGTGTAATGGAACGTCAATTTATCAAGTCAAAACTCGTGTGCGCCGTAAACAACGCCATCGATTTATGCCCTTACACCTTGACAGTGACGTGTTGGGTCGTTCACACAAATAAACATATGTACATGTGTGTGTACACCTTCCTCAGAATAACTCTGTTGACAAATATGTAGACAAGTAGATCACCTTGTTGTCCGGATTTTGTTCCGGTTCCGAGTTCACCCTTCATGTCAAAGACAATAGGCAGGTATACCTTACTTCAATTACACATACAACTCTCCTTTCTTGTCGTTAGCTAACTACATTGCTACATATTCATTTATATTTAATATCAACTTCACAAATTTTTTTTTTCTAATAAAAATAACCCATTTTATGTTCAAGATTTCTTGTTTTTGTTTGTCATGGATATATTAAAAAAAATACTAATTGATTTTTAATCTTTTTACGTATTAGCAAATATCGTGGACTGTGTTTTGTTTACAAAAAAAAAAAAAACAAGTAAAGCCGAAGAAAAAAGAAAGATTTTCTTTTTTTCTTTTTTTATACCACTGAGGTGGCAAAGAAGCATACGGCCCATCTGATCGTAAGCAGTTACCGTAGCCAATAAACGCCTGCAATACCAGAGGCATTAGGCGCGCATTGCCGACTCTGTAGTCTCTTAGTTTGCAGTGGATAAACTCAAAAAATTTACCGATTTAAAAAAATATTTCACCTATAGAAAGCTACGTTATTAGCTATTAATACTATTTTTTTTTTATTAGAGATCTTCTATATGTCGATTTATATGAAACCGGGGTGGATTACTAGTATAAAATAAAATAATTACTCTTTGAAGTGTTCAATCTATTAAAAAACTTCTAAAGCAAATAGTTAACTTACAAGTAAATGTATCGATGTATTTCCAATTAAGTGGATTAGTAGATCGCCTTCATACTTAACAATATTATTTCCGATAGAGGCGCACCTCTCGGATATAAGATATATTTTATAGATACAGTACCTAACAATGTACAACCAGTTGGCCTAGACTTACAGCTAGTAGTTTAGGTCTAAACTCTTTAAACATTATTAAACCTTTTTTTCTATTGGTATTATTTCTATTATTAATGTAATACTAAATACATTTTATATTATATTTTAAATAAGTATTAGAAAGTGAAGAAATATTATATATTTTTCGCATATAAATAAAAGTTTATTTCGAATTACTTTAAATAGAGTTAATCTTTATTCAAAAATTCTTAGAAGCATATACTTTAAGTAGAGTCCTTTTATTATACTACACTTATTGTAAAGATTATTTGTAACTTTTTTAACATAAAGTTAAAAAAAATACAACGCAGCATTAAAATTAGACATCCATAATGAGCGCATATATAGTCCATAATACGCAACACACAAACAAACTTACTTTCACATTTATAATATTAGTAAAAGTATTTTAAATTTTATAATTATGACTACAGGAATAATTCAGTTCACAATTTATTCGAAGGTAAAAAAGATATCTCATTGCCCTAGAATTTCAGTGGCATCCATGTTTTGGAACCGAATCTCAGCTTGACAGAAAATAATTACCATACTTTGCTTTGGCAAAGGGTGGCTTAAACTGTGGTTTTTAGGCTGTGTTTCATCATCATCATCATATCAGCCTTTAACTATCCACTGCTAAACATAAGCTTTCCCCTTGTTCTGCTAGTAGTTGCCATACTTGGCAGGCGGATTGGCAACCGCAGTCAGGCTTTAAAGATGTTTTAAGAGGAACGCTGCTGTCCATTCCTCGCCCTCTCTTAGTCGGCTCTTACGACACTCACGGGAAAGGAATGGATGGCATATTCTATGCCAGGAATACACGACTATAGTTGGAGTATGGCAGTCTAATTACAAGATATAGAAGCATAACACCTTAGTGCTCAGAATTGGCAACGCATAAGATATATTATAGGCGTCATAATATACTCTGTTACGTCCATAGTACTGTCTATGTCTATAGGTGATAGTTAATACTTTCCATCAGGTGGGCCCTCAGCTTGCTTGTTATTCTAAGTTGTGTAAAAAAAAAGAAAATACGAATAGTGCAGAAGTATAGAAGACTTTTACGCAGTCTTCCTCTGGTAAAACTTATTCAACATTTCTAATCTTTTTTTTTTTTATGCAACTTAGAATGACAAATAAGCTGACGGCCCACCTGATGGAAAGTGGTAACCGTCGCCTATAGACATGAGCAGTACCATGGACATAGCAGACTATACTGTTTCACCCATGATACCCCCCATGCGTTGCCATTCCTGAGGACTCAGGTGTTATTCCTCTGTACTCGAATGGGACAGAGGTACCCAAGCAATCGACTTTTGTACAAAGTCTCCCTCTGGTAAATAAGTATTAGATAATCTTAAATAACCTCTGGTAATCTTAAATTAATTATTCGATTCCCCACTAACTATGTTATACAAATACAATTGTGTATATAAAACTTACCTCAAAAATGCACATTTTAATATGTCATATTCTTTATATCAAAAACTATAAAATCATGATAAAAAAATGATCAGGCCGCATTGGGATCTGGTTCAAGGTTGCCGCCACGTGCAAGGAAAATGGACCACGAACGCTTAAGTTTTGCAAATCGAATCCGTAGTCTAACTTCTTTTAACTTCATTCGACCTAGGGATGAACGATATTTATCGATATTATCAAAATATCGATCTCGTAATATCAGTACTGATAACTTCAGTATTTTGCATATATTTTAAGAAAAATATCAACATATCGATATTCCTTATCAGAGACATTACAAATTCACAATAATAATTGGTGTTCTGTTTATCCTTTATGTCCAATCCAGGGAATTGTAGAATTATAAATAATATCAATATTGAAAAATGTCGATATTCTGCTTATAATAATGATTCTAACGATTCTAACGATATCAATTTCAATAGCAATATCGATATTTAGGCAATATCGATCATCTCTAATCCAAGGAAGTAATACGTAGACAATTGTTTTGTGTAACAGAAATTCCGCTTTCTATTTTCAGTCAATTCGAGGGAAAGAGTAGCTTATCAAACTCTTAGACAGACTATTGATAATAATAACCAGAATATTCCTATCCTTATTCAAATTAAATATATAAAAGAAGGTGCAAATCGTCATGAAAGGTTCATTCTCTTGCTCTCCTTCTTCAATATCGTTACAGGGGAAAAAGTGATTGTTTGTAATAGAGACCAATGGTCTCATTCCTAACAATATACCCAGTCAGATCGAACTACACATGGTTCCCTCCGGAAACCTTACAAATTAATATTTACAAATTACGTCACAATGGGCTAACCTGCTTCATCCTCACCTATCATCCCTACTGGTATCACGCCAGTATATACCGACATACCAAGCGG